CTTTCTTATGTTTATTGACCCTTTCCTATGTATTGATATTTCAGAATGAAGGACTAGAAAACTGATTAGAAATTGGATGTGAAGTGCTTACCAATCATTTAGCTTTCATTGGAGTAATTAGTTCTACCAGGATGCTGGTCATTTTATAGCTGGACATAAGTAGCTTTCTCTGTCTGAAGCTATTCAGTGTTTCCTGAGGACAGTCATTTCCTCTGAGTGGTTGGTAGAAGGGACCAGATTTTGGAGGTGATGTAATCTTGAATACTGGTGTTCTAGGAGCAGAGTGAGAAAGGGAACTATTTTTAGCTGTGGCTTTGTGCAAGCCTTGTGCAATTTAAAATGCCTATGTTTAGAACTTCTGAAACCAACCTTCCCTTTCCTGAACTGGTCAAGGAGGAGTGCAGGCTGGGAGAATGACAACAGGGAACCCAGAGGCCCCCACCAGTCTACATAAGGAGTCTCATATCATCCCTGTTTCTCTGTTTTTGTAGCTTTAATAATGTTCTAGTGCATTTTATGTTACTGCAACAGAATTCCACAAACTGGGTAGTTTATAAAGAACAAAGGTTTATTTTTCATGTTCCTGATGCTGTGCAGTCCAAGGTCAGGGAGCTGTGTCTACCGAGAGGCTTCCTGATGGTGGAAATTTTCTGCTGAATGCTAGGACCGTGAGGGGCATCACATGGGATAAATCTTGATAGTTTAGGCCTCTTGCTTTTCTCAGAAACCACTAATTGCATCATGGGGGTCCCTCCCTCAGGACCTATTGAATCCTAATTATCTCCCAAAGGCCCTGCCTCTGAAAACCATTCACACTAGATTTGGGGGATTAAATTTCCCACACATAGATTCTGGAGAACATTTTCAGACCAAAGCAGGATAATCCACCTTCTGTAGTGCCTGTGCATCCCGTATGGAGTCCATAAATTGTGTATTGGCCCCCACGCCTTATTCTCATCTGCACTCCACTTGTGCAGCCTTCTCTGAATCAAGCACACTTTTTCATTCAATTCCTAAAAATGTGTTGTGTTTTTTATATTCTGCTTTGCTTTTTCCCTTTCTGGTTTGCCTAGTAGTAGATTTGGAAAGAAGCAAATTTAAGTATGCATAATAATCTACATTTGTTTTTCAAACCTTGGAAACTTCCCACTACTATAAACATCTTTGGCTTTTATCTCCTTCGACTTGAAAGTAATAATTTATCAGTTGTATGTTCATACCAAGTATTTTTAAGTGTGTACAGTATGCCAAGAACCAGTCTTGTCCCCTGGTCATACAGACCTCAGCCATCTAGACAAAGTTCCAGAAGTGGGATAATCTTTTAATTTTAAATGGCATAGGTGAAGATTTTTAGCAAAACACATAATAAAATATCTGATAGTCATGAGGTGTACTGAAGGAATTAGACCAGGGGAACATGATAAAGCATGCTCAGATGGGTACTTTGAATAGAATGGTTATAAATCTCTGAAAGGAAATCAGTCAGGGACTCGCAGAGGGGAATGGAAATATTTTATCAAGAACAGTAACTACAAAGACTCTGGGTCTGACATCTGGGGAGCAGAAAAGCCAGGCCCATAGGAGAAGCTAAGGAAGGAGAGAGATTGCCTGAACAGAAGATCAGGTGGGGAGCTATTGTCTTAGGCTGGGTAAGGAGCTCAAGTTTTATTTTAAATTAAAGAAAATTATATGTAGGAGTAGGAATTGATGTATATTTTGAAAAGATCATTTCTGTTGCTGTGTTAAATGAAAAAAAAAGCAATAAGGAAGGTAAGGGTTGAGTTAGCTGAGATACTGCAGATTAGCAGCATATTTATTTCCACTGGTTTAGGGAAAGTGAGCATTGAAATGTCACCCTGTGTTTCTGTCATGCTCACTTAAGGAGGTGGTTGAGCCACTGCCTTAAACAAATAAAACTAGGGAGGAAACAGGTAGGGAAGAGGTGCTGGATGATGTGTGGATTGGAAGTCCAGTGATATGTTGGTTGTCGAATGGCTCCAAGCTCGAACTTTCCACTACTTGAACAGCAAAGTTGGAGAAACTCTGCTCAGTGTTTGTAACTTTGCTCCACAGTCCAACTAAAATCTGACCTGCAAAAACCTGTACAGGCCAAGAGCGAGTCCTGCATCATGTCCCTTCATGAACACAAAAGGGTGACACTTCAGTCCAAGCTCTGCTCTCGCCCAGACAACATACAGTGCTTCTGTTAGTGCCTCAAAACATTCGTCATTGTGCTTTTTTTTTTTTTTTTAACTTCCTGCTTTATTTGCGTGAAATCTGGTAACCATGGTTCCAAGCAAAGTTAGTGATACCAGCAGTAAAGCTGAGAGGAAAACTGTGAGAATCACAATAGAGTTAAAGAAGGAAATCATTGCACAATTTAACAAGTTTCCTGGAAAGTGAATTTATAAGTGTAATTTGGGGACCTTACAACCAATTATTTGGTTTTCTATTGTTTCTTACAGGAAAAATATGTTAAATTATTGAATATTTCAGTGTTTAAACACAAATTTGGAATGAATTGAGTTTGACAACCAAATTATCACGATATTAGGTGTGTGGGAGCCCTTTAAATTACAAGCGGAGATTGGCCCTTAACTCTAGAGATGTGGGATTGGTCAGCACTGACAATACAGATCTGATGGCAAAGGGAGCGTGGCAGGTAACAAATCACACAGGATGGCAGGAAACAGGAGTCTACCCCAGATTCTGAAATATGTCTCACGTCCACAGACTCTCAGATTTGTTTGTTGACTATATCCAATTGGATGGCTTACTGCCATCCTAAAATTGTATTGCAATATTTGGACTTATCAAAGGAGACAGCTATTTTTTTTTCCAATTGCCACATGTTCAATCCATATCTTCTGAGTATTCTAAACTCAACATCTGGAGGTTATTTTCATTTCATAGCATGGTTTTATTTCCTTCCTATGGTTATAGCACAAGTAAGAAACTCAACTCTTTTTCTTTCAAGAAATCTATACTAACACAAAAAATTACTACTAGCAAAAATATCTCTTTTTATTATAATTTACTCAAATTTGGGGAAGGGTCCTAAACAATCAAACTTTCTGCTTTGCTTCCAAGATGTCCCCCACTAGTTAAAAAATTCCCTTTTCTAGGCCTTTGCTTCAGCTAATTTAATCTATTTTCTGTGTTTGACCAAAACATGACGATCATTGCTTCCTTTCCCTTTCCGTGTTTCTTCTTCCACGTGAACTGTCTTCCCGTGCTTCCCATGTCTTTCATGTTGGAACTACTGAGTATCTAACCACTCTCCTAATTTTGTTCAGCTCCTGCTTTCTCTCAGGATTTCTACATACTTGCAAACTGAATAGTCATTCAATTATTTGATGTTCTAGTATTTTGTATTCATGTCTTTTGCTGGGTTGAAAATTTCCTTACTACGTCATGCTTGTGCCATTTCCTTGAAGCTGTTTCGGTGGGTCACATAAAGAGCTCCAGTGAAGACTTTCCTCACACCATACATTCAAGCAACATAAAGGACATTTGAACATTATCACAGTAACAAGATTCTTACAGTGTATCACATTTTGTGACATTTTATGCATTTGAAATGATTACTCTATACATATAAAAAGTCTTTACTTTTGTCTCTGTCATTTCCCCTATCAAAACAGTAAGATCTTTGGAAGTAGAGTACCTCTCTCATTTTTCTTTTATATTAACTCCAGTTGTGTTGTATATCTTGATGAGTACCATCTTTGAAATTTATTTTTTTCTGGCTCAGTGGATCAGTAAATATTCCATCATTTAGGTTTTTCAATATCATATTTAAAATTATATATGAAGTTTCAAAGTAACAGTCACTTCTGAACTTCAGGAAAAGAATTAAAAGTTCCATAAAGCATTTTGAACTCATTACAAACTTTAATTTCCCAGAAATTATATTGTTGAAAGATCCTGAGTGGGTTTATTAAGACTACAGTCAGCAGCCCTGTATCTCCTGAGTACAGTAAAGTCTGCCCATTAGTGATTGAGACAACTGTCCATGAATTCTGTTTACAGCTCCCTGCAACCTAAGCTAGACTTACCACGTAAACCTTAGAAATAACAGCCTAAAGTCATCAAGACTCTTACAATACATGTATTCCTACAGATCCACCTTGCATTACCATGTGTCAGAACTCTAGGTGACTGTAGCTGTTATGCTATCCATGTCCTTTTTTTGGATATGAGAAAAGAAAGGCCCACATTTATGTGGCTATAGCTCTACAGAAGGCAGACACTGAACCTTTCCTCAAATACTACTTTTCTGCACAATTTCAGAATCATATATGTGAAATATGGTATCATTAACATTTTATTCCATAAATTTGTGGTAGGTGCAGATGTAAAATGCACAGCAAGCATTTCTTCGGGCTTCTAAAAAGTGATGTAGGAAACTGAGCAGACCAAAAGCCAGGACTTGAATTGCTTTACTACTTCATAGAGTGGACCTCGACTTATGAACGCAATTCATTCCCAAGGGCTTGTTGTAACTCAAGTTGATTATTTGGAGGCTCAAGCCTCTCCACACAGCCAATAGTCTCTCTCCCATACACAGGAAGGTTGTGGTCTCCTTAAAGAGATATTGGCCCAGGATTTCTCAGTTAACCCCACACAGGCAAGAATGTGGTAATGTTCCTTCCAGAACTCTTTAAGAGTTAAATCCATATCTGAGACCACCTGGAAGCTCAAGCAGCTGCCATTCTGATTGTAACGCAAGACTTTGTTCCTAAGTGAAAACTAAAATTCTGGTCATAACCCAAGTTGTTCAAATGTCAGGCTAGTCATAACTCAATGGTCTGCTGTAGAGGAATATGCAGATGTGAAGACACATTCATTATGCTCATGTGATCATTAAAAATAATTGTACATCATTCTAGCCAGGTCAAACACACTTTTGTTATTATTAAGTGATCCATTTTTAGTGGGGCCATGTATTATCAGTCTTTTAACTTGGCAAAATTAATGTATCCTTTCTTTTCTTTCAGTTATATGTGGTCATTTGAGAAAGCTCACCTCAGCATGGTTCAGATAATCACAGGCCAACTTGTTGAGTGCTTCGATGAAGAATTTAGAACTCTCTACGCCAGGTCCTGTGTCCCCAGTCCGTTTGCTGAGGAAGAGTTGGCGAGGAAAAAGCAAGGCAAAGCACTCTGGGAGAATGGCACATACCAGCGCTCAGTCTCCTCCTTAGCTTCCGTTTCCAGCCAAAGAAACCTCTTTTGTAGACAAGACAAAATTCATATCCTAGATTCTAGTTACTTCACAGGCAGAGGGATATATCCCCTCAATGAGCATGACAAATACGGCATAAGAAATCATGGATACAAACCTCAGTTTCTTCTAAATTTTAATGGTCCAAATACAGCGCGTCAGTTTCAACCCAATCAGAAAAATGAAAACTGGAAAAGGCATAGTTACGCTGGGGAACAGCCAGAAACAGCACCGTATCTGCTGCTTCACAGGGCTATGAATCGAACCAACAATCCTCCTGGTAGTTGGAAAAGGCCTTCAGATAGTCTCAGTGTGACCTCCTCATCTCGAGGGGGCTACACAGGGCTCCTCAACGCTCCCGCCCAGAGCTTTGCTGACCGGCTTGCTCAGAGAAAAACAACGAATCTCCCGGAAAGGAACTCAAATGTGCGCAGGTCTTTTAATGGGACAGACAATCACATTCGCTTTTTACAGCAACGAATGCCAACCCTTGAGCACACCACAAAGTCATTCCTGCGCAATTGGAGGATCGAGTCCTACTTAAACGATAACTCGGAAGCTGCGCTGGATTCGAATGGTTCAGCCTTAGGGGACCGATTTGAAGGCTATGAGAGTCCTGAGAATTTGAAAGCCAATGCCCTTTATACGCATTCTCGCCTTCGTTCTTCTTTTGTATTTAAACCAACTTTACCGGAGCAGCAAGAAGTCAACAGTTGTACAACTGACTCCTCAAATTCAACTATCATTGGTTCCCAGGGAAGTGACACACCTAAAAAGATCCCAGATGCCCCTACGGATGCACAGCATGTGACACAAAAACCTCTGCCCGAATCAGACCCCAGAATCATGTCACAGTCAGAGACACCAAAAACACACACTTTACAGGTTCCTGAACACCAGTCAGCAGCTTTAAACCCAATAGCAAGGAGCTATACAGAAGCAAACAGCTATTCTCATGCAGTCTTGGGTGTAAATAAGCAGACAGAAAAGCTCAAGAATCAACATGAGAATCTGCTTAAAAGACGAAGTTTTCCATCCTTTGACCACTCAAAATCCAATTTAGATCACGGAAACAGTAAGAATTATGTATATAGTACACTTACAAGGAATCGAGTTAGACAACCAGAAAAACCCAAAGAGAATTTGATGAAAAGTTCTAAAAGTATGCACAATGTGACCCAAAACATAGAGGAGGAAGAGGAGGAGGAGGAGGTTATCCACAGGGTCCCTCCGGGTGGCAGTGCCACCAAGTCCATTTCCATGGCTGCCTTACTTGATATGAACAAAGAGGAATCCAACAAGGAACTCACTTCAAAGAAAGACGCGAAGGGGTCTCCGAGTTTTTTGAAGAAGGGATCTCAGAAGTTAAGGTCTTTACTTAGCCTCACCCCGGAAAAGAAAGAAAATCTATCCAAAAATAAATCTTCTGCATTCTATAGAATTTGTAGTAGCTCTGACACGTTAGTTTCAGAGGGGGAAGAGAATCAAAAACCAAAGAAGTCAGAACCCAAAGTTGATTCTTCTCCTAGAAGAAAGCGTTCTTCTTCATCAAACTCCCAAGGAAGTCTCCACAAGAGTAAGGAAGATGTAACGACAGTGAGCCCATCTCAGGGGGCCAATTCTTCATCAGAAGAAAGCAGTAAAATAATTCCTTCTCCCAGGCCAGCTGAAAGAAAGTTCCTGGAGAAGGGAGGAGACGCCTCCACCCCAAGATTTAACACTGAGCAGATTCAGTACCGAGATTCAAAGGACACTCATGGAGTTGTTGCTCCTGAGAGAAGACCAACCTCTCCTCCAAAGCCAAAGCCTAGTGAGCTGTTAAGATCTCATTCAACAAACCAGCGTGTTTACAGTCGTTTTGAGCCATTTTGTAAGATTGAGAGCTCTACTCAGCCAACAAGCAACATTCCAAATACCAACATCAACCACCCAGAAAGAAAATCTGCATCTATGAGCAACAGTTATGGCAGGTGCAGCCCAATGCTTAATTATAATGCTGGAGTTTATCAAGCATATCAACCCAATGAAAACAAGTTTCGAGGATTTATGCAAAAGTTTGGGAACTTCATACACAAAAACAAATGAAATGCTGTAATCTCAAATAGCTATTAAAACATAAATTGAATGTGGCTAGTAATGTTTGCCCAAGGGATGCTGCAGACAATTTTTGTGCCATGCAAATAGATTTCTTGGGTGCAGAATTGTGGTTATGCTGTATATGTTCTTCAGTGCAGAGTGTACAGTACAGGTATTCTTTTGTGTGACAAAATTAGTTACACTTAATTACTTATAGATGGACTTTCTTTGTAAACACTTTCTTAAATAGTAGTGGTAAAAATAGATGTGATTAAACTAGTGAGACTTAAGTGCTTAATTAGAAATTTTAGTGAAGATACAGTATAAGAATTTTAACCATTTGTTCCAAAGTTTTCTCTAAAAAAAGTATTATATTACTAAAGTGATGCTTTATACTACGTCTTTCTGGTGTTTTCATTGTCTTCAAAAATATAAGAAAATGGGACAACAGTTTTTAAATTTTTAAATGATTTTAAATTCTACAGGATAACTTGTTATATTTTATTAATTTTTTCCATGGAGCATTGCACAGTTGTTTAGGTAAAAAGAGTATTGTTTAAAGTAGGTAGCTTAGCACATCTTTTTACTTCACCTGAACTTTTTGCAAAGTATCATCTTCATGTGGTACAAATCACATGCATAGAACTCCTTTTGAATCCTGTAAAAATCATCTCAGGCATGCTGCTTTCCAATCTGGACCAGGGAACCTGGACCCCACTCTCCCACTGGCTGCCCATCTTTTGTAGTCATTTTCTACTTCAAATTTATAGAAAGCGGGAATTTGAAACGTGGATTAGTTCTATCCTTCTTTTTTTCCCCAATATATCAAAACCTTCAGAGATGTAAGCTTCTGTCTACATTTTTATTGTAGAGTAACATCAACTGCTGAGATGTTTTGCTTGCAAAATGCTTGGCAGTTTTTCAGTTTGAGCCAAATATTTTATGAAAGCATTGTGTTTTCATAAGGGTACCATGATAAAAATGAGAAGAGGCCTCGTGTTTCCATGCCTACAAAACCTGGTTGTTTCCAGTTTTTCTATGCCTTGATTTGATGATGCTATTCAGATTATAAAATACCTTTTTGACTTAGAGTAATGAAATAAAAAATTTATGTACATCACAGAGACTTTAACTTGGCTTTGACTCATGCACAAAATATAGAATTCAAGAAGCCATGGATTGTGTGAGAAGTGTGAGGTGCTTTTACACTTTAAATACATTATTTAACACCTTTCTATTGCCATAAGGAGAGTGCATTGTTGTAAAACTGCAAAATGCGGTAAAGTATTAATAGCAGTGTCATTAAAATAATTAAAATAATGGCATTACAATATCTGTGCCATTAAAATGATTTTCTGTAGTATTAAAACATGAAAGAAGCAAGAGAGAAGAAAATAGGATAGCAGAGAAGAAGGAAGCTTAAACTTTATTGAGCACTTAACTATAGATCACATCATGGGCTAGAAACTGTGGGTAACATTATCCTCATGATTTATAGATGATAGAGGGGGTAATTGAAACATTGGGACTCAGAAAAATAATGTTCCAAGTGCATAACTAATAAGTCATAGCTATAAATGGAATGTTCCGTCAGAGTACCTCCAACTGGTCAGGGCCTGCCCAGAATGCTAGGATTAAAGGGCATTTACATTGGATTCCCTGACTGGAGAGATCAACCAGAAAGACTTTAGTTGAATTCCACCAGGCAGCAAGGGCATTCCAAGCTTAAATCAATCACAGCAGAGGAGATTGGGAGAGTAAACTGAGATTACGTTCTGGATATGACTAACAAGCCAGTTTTGATTGCTGGGCAGCCTTCTGCACGTCCTGGTTGGCCTGTAGAAATGAGAGCCAGGGAAAGGCAGCTGGAAGTGAGTGGTAACTTTTGAGCTTCTGAGCTAGGAAAAATCTACTCAGTGAGGAAGTTAGGGGGGAATGAATCTCACTGTTAATAGCTTTATCTCATGAAATGTTTACAATAACCCTGTGAAGTTAATAGCACGTTTTACAGAAGACTAAACTGGGCCTAAGAAAAATAACCTACCTGTTCATGAGTCACAGCAGTGAATTAGTGGAACTGGGGTTTGAGCCTGCCTTTTTAATAGTTTACCACACATAAGTTGCTACCTTCTCCTGCACTGTGCTTGAAGAACCTGCTTGCAAAGTCATTGTCTCTCTTTTGCTCTTTCTTTCCAGAGACTGCAGAAATTACAGATTGTAGAAACATTCCAGTAACCACACACAAGTACCTTTTTATAAATACAAATCCAGAATGCGTACTCAGTTTTATGTCACTAGTGAAAGTAAAGTTCAAAGCCCTCTGGGAAATCCAGCAACATGGGATTTTATTGTTCTGGAAAAAGTAACATAATCAATTTGAATTTTTTCACCCTCCCTAGTAAATTAAGAGCATAAAACTAAGCTTTCTGGGAGTGAACTGCCATAGTACAGGAAAGGTAGTGGATTATGTTCCAATCAAAATAAAAATTTTCTTCCATTCTTATTTTTTCAATCCCTTTTTTTCTTCCTTCCCTTCCCCCTGTTTCACTCCCCTTCCCATTGAATATGTTTGTCAATTTCTATCCTCCACTTTGCTCCTCATTTACGCTTAGGGTTTCTCATAAAAGAAATACAATATTTAAACTTATGTGTCTGGTTTATTTCACTTAAAATTATGACCTCACGGTGCATCTATTTATTTACAAATGACTCAAGTTTATCCTTTGCTATCTCAGAGTACTACTCCATTGTATATAAATTTCATGTTTTCTGTATCTATTCATCTGTTAACAAGCATATGGGCTTTTTCTGAGAGTTAGCTATCATAAATTGTGGTGCTATAAACATGGGTGTTCATCTATCACTGTAGTGTATGGTGCTTTTAATTCTTTCAAAAGATACCTGGAAGGCAAATAGCTGAGTCAAATGGAACCACTAGTTTTAAATAACTTTAAAAAGAACCTTCTCAGGTCATTAAAAAGTGCTAGAGTTTGGTTCCACAGGTGGAAGAGATTACTCATTTTGCTCACTGCAAAATTTATTTCAGTAATTCTGGATCACAGCCTTTTCAGAATGTTCCAGAATCCAGAATTTAGAGTTAACGAAACTAGACTGACTTCAGTATTTACCATTTTTTGTTAGTATTGGATTGGAAATTCAGTGCTAAGATGATAATGAGATAATTGTCCCTTAGCTACTCTAAAGTGCAAAGTTTGATTATGTTTAGCTATAAGCAAAAGTCTGTGGCCATTTTGTACATCAACTTTGGAAATGTGGATAGCTTACAAGAACATTTTTAAACAGTTGGTGAGGTCTTAGTGGAGTAGGGGAGTACAAGATGCTTTATTTTATCCATACCTGACAGCTAATTTAGGCTTTTGTACTATAGCTTTATTCTCCTTTGCATTTTTTTCTTTGGTTGTTTTCCTTTTATTTTCTTTTTTTACGGAAATATCTATGTGTCAGAATGTATGCATAATAACTTCCAAAGATTGTGGGCTAAGAAACTCCCCAGAGATAATACGGAGCAAACAGAATACTTCCAAACCATGAAGGTGTTTCAATGGTAAACACATTACCCTTGTTTGTGGATGCAGTAATTTCAAGCAAAATATTTCTCTTTCACCCCATATTAATATTGATAGAAAGATAGTGTCGCTTAGGTGTTCTTTTATATTAAAGTTGGTGATGCAATTTTGCCTCTCTATAGTTCATTAATGAAAGAAAAGTAGTTGTTGCAGATGGCTTCAGGCCAGTGTGAAACACTTAATGTCTCCTCACTGTATGGACTGGGATTAGCCACAGTGCTGACATAGTATACTGAGGTGTGGGTACATGTTATGCATTGGCAGTGATGGAAGTAAATTTCTTATTTAATTACAGGGATACCTAATGCTGCCTAGATAAAGTTTGAAATGAGAAAGGTTGAATTTGGGATGCTTTCAACTGGAACTGCATTTAAGACCTATCCTCAGTCAAATATTATTCCACAGATATTTGTGTTTTGTGAATATCTGTTGCTTTTTCTGTGTCTATGGCTAGGGGATATAAAGTAGAGTTATTGTTTCGTGGCAACTACATTTATGAGTTACCTGTGATGTTTAAAAATTATAGTATTCAGTTTCATTCTACACTACTTTAAAAAATGGGATGAAATAGTAAACCAGTGTCAATTTAACATTTTATATATATATACAATATTATAAAGAATTATACTTCCAAATTAAAGTTATTTTGAAATTCATGAATAAACATTAAATGATTTTGTACAAATATGACATAGTGTAAGTTTTTGTTGCTGTTTTTAATACTTTTTATCTTTATTAAATTTATTAGCACAAGTTAGGTTTACAATACAGTTACATTCATCATTGGGATCTTGTACCTATACACAACTTATCAGGTTCTTATTTTTTCCCATTCCCCAATCTCCCCTCAGTCCCTCCACCCTTCTTTGTTTACAAAGATATTGTTTCCATGTTTTTCCTTTTCACATATTTTTTATTTTCCCTTTTTATGTTTCCCCTACCCCTCTCACTTCCTCTACACTTTTAGACTTTTCTTACTATTACATAATATCAATTATACATTTTAATCCTTATTTACACTTTTAGTTTCTCACAGCAGAGAAACTTCAGTATTTACACATGTGTAACTTATTAATTTCACTTAAGAGTATGGCTTCAATGTGCATCAACTTAGCTATAATTCTCTCTAGTTTCTCATTCTTTATGGCTGAGTAATGTTGTTTTATTAAAACACACACACACACACACACACACATCTTCTTTAAACAGTCTCCAGTTAATAGGCAATAGTCTTCATGTTTTAGCTATTACAAACTGCCACTATAAACATGGGTAAGCATATATTGCTGTGGTATGATTCTTTCACTCTTTTGGGAAGATACCCCCCAGAGGAATAGCTGGGTCAAATGGGACTTCTAATCCTAGTTGTTTGAGGTATCTCCATATTGATTTCCACAGTGGTTACACCAGTCTGCTCTCCCACCAACAATGAAGAAGGGTTCCCACCAGCATTTGTTATTGGTTGATTTCTTGATAGCAGCCATTCTTACTGGGGTGAGATGGAATCTCAGTGTTGTTTTCATCTGCATCTCTCGAATGACCAGTGATGTTGCACATTTTTTCATGTGATTATTTGCTGCTTTTACTTCTTTGTCTGAGAAATGCCTGTTTATTTCAGATGCCCATTT